AAGGGCAGGATATAAATAAATATAATAATAAATAAATAATAAACAATTTGCATTGTGGGAAATCAAAAGACAGATTCAGCTACATGATGCTCTTTGGCACTCCAGGTCAAGGGGAGAACTCAGCTGCTGTTAGCTGCACATGCCAACCCTGAACCCACTTAACATTACACATATGTTATATTCCACTATAATTGCCAGAACAACATCCTATGGGTGGGATTCGGGATTTTATGTTCTGTTTAATATATCTGTATGGAAATTGTAATGTTGTAAGCTGCCCCGATTGCTCTGCAGAGGGGTGGGATATAAATAATAATAATAACAATTTTATTTTTTTTATTATAATAAAAAATAATAATAATTGTAATTATTATTACTGAGACTTGTAGCTTGTTGGGAGGCTAGACTTTGGCTGATAATTCTAAATCTCCCTCTTAAACTTCCAATCTCAGGATTGCATTGGATATTGCCATGGCAGTTAAAGTGAAATATAGTGCTATAAATATGTAGTGTGAATGGGCCCCCTGTCTCCCTCTTGTCTAATGGTGGCTGGTGGCTTCCATGTCAGTAGAATGGTGATTTTCCCTCTGTGTTCTAGCCGAAACGTTAAAGGCACTATCAAAGATAGAACCCTCTCCCCAAATAGATTTCAGCACTTTGGATGTATCTTTTAAAATTTGGACTAAAGTGGACCTCTGCAGCTCCCACTGCCTGCATTGTTCGAACATGACTTGTTCAACATCAAGGGAAGTAGTAGTGCTGCTTGTTCTGCTTTGGCCAGACCTCACTTGGAATACTGTGTGCACTTCTAGGCATCACAATTCAGGTCAGAGCTCATCTAGAATACTGTGTGGAGTTCTAGGCACCACAATTCAGTAAGGATGTTGTCCACATAATGGCAATAAAGATAATCAAACATCTGGAAATCAAGCCTTGTGAGGAACGACTTAATGAGTTGGATATGTTTAGCTTGAAGAAGTGAAGTCTGAGACGTTGCCCCAATCACATTTTTTTTGCTGTAAAATAACCCACTTGTGGTTCACATTGATGAATGAATCAATTCAAAATAGACCCACTTCAGTCGTCCAAAGGGCAAACTTAAATCGATTCCGATCTGGTTCACACTTGTGCGGAATCGGTTTATTGAAAAAAGACGCGAAAAAAATCAGCATCCAAAAGATGCATGTTAAATGGGTCTAGCTAGCACATGGCCCCCCTCTCCAAACCACTTCAGCAAACCTGTTTGCAAACCAGTTTAAAACATAGTAGGAATGAGGCTTAGAAGAACTAATGTATTCAAATTTACAAGAAAAGAGATCCCACCTAAACATTAGAAAGAATCTCTTTACGTTAAGAGCTGTTTGACAGTGGAATAGACTGCTTTGAAGGATGGTGAACTCTCCTTCTTTGAGGGGAATTTAAAACAGAGATTGGATGGCTATCTCCCATGAGTGTTTTGTGTATTTCTATATGTGCGCAAGTTGGACTATCTGGCTCTTGTGGTCCCTTCCAGCTATGAGATTTTCTCACCCAATATCATTTAGACTCATTGCTTGGTGAATGTGCATGGTAAATATTCTTCTCCAGAAAGTCATTATCTGTGTTTTCTCTGACTCCATATTACAAAAGCTCATGGGGGCTCTTTCCTTAAGCAGCCATTAGCCACAATCCATTTTCCTTTTTGTACCAGGAAAGAACATAATTTTGCACTCTACATAAGAATAACAATCATACATAGTCTTTGGATTCCAGCTATTTCACCTAGGGAAAGTAATCTTGTTTTTGAAGTCATTACAGCTTGGCTATTATTGCTGGGATAGCTTTTCCAAAATGCAAGATGACTGGGTGAATAGGTATTTTGGTTTTGAGAGGCCACTTTTTCTATATTTATTTTTGAAAATGGCAATTTTGCCTATATCCTGGTTGTTAGATAATTGTTAGTTAATGGTTGAGATGGGAAAATATATTCAAGATGGTGGGAAGAACAACAACAACAACAACAACAACAACAACAACACATATCTCTTTGCTCAGAGGCTTAGTGGGGAAAGGGAGCACTGTAGCAGATCCTCATTTCTTTCATCCTTGCATCCTAACACAAGAAATCATACTGAGATACTAAAGTAAGGTGGCCAAAAACTGGAAGACAGATCTATCTGCAGCTCTTAATGGCTCAATGGAATTTCTGTATTTTAGAAGAAAACAGGAGAGAGCTCATGCCTTAATGCCCCCAAAGTGTGAACTTCTGGGTGGCATCTATAACCTGGAGTTATTATGAGAAAGATGATGTTTAACTAGATGGAGCTTTGACCAAATCCTACTAGGTATTTGATTATACATTTCTTTGCACAATTAGACAGTTGCTAGCAGTAGATATTTTGTCCAATGGCTTTCTTTGAGTAGAAGTACTAGCAAGGTGTTGACAACTTGAGATTTTACCTTTCTATAAATAGGAGTCAATATTATGCAGTGGTTTGAGTTTTCAACTAGGACTCCAGGAGACCAGGATTTGAATACCTCCTCAGCCATGAAAATTCACCGGTTGATACTGGGCAAGCCATATTCTTTCAGTCTCAGAAGAAGGCAATGGCAAACCTCCTCTCAACAAATCTTGCCAAAAAAAATATACAATGATAGGGTTGCCTTAGAGTCTCTATATATTGAGGCACAATTTGAAGACACACAACAATGTGGACTGCCTCACTATTTGTTTTTTTAGTCATTATGTTCTGAACCAAGAACCACATTTTTGATTTGTCTTACCTAGAATGTTCTCTCTTGTCTGATATTGACTCCATGGTAGTTTGAAAGGTTTCACTTTTTCTCCTGGCAGCAATGAAAATTTGGGCAATATTTATTACTGATATTGCAGTTGATTGCTCTGAGGATACTCTTGTCATAGTATTGTTATTTATATTCAATGTGTTTTAATTGTATATATATACACACTCACATATATATATTCATATTCAGGATCTATATGCTGTCTATTTTATGTAGTACTGGACTTTTATATGGTACTTATTTTTTTATGCCAATGACCTATGGTCTAAGCATCAATAAATTACTACTACTACTACTACTACTACACAACAACATTAACCAATATTCTGGATACCAGTACTTCTACAACAAGATTAAAAGCTGTAGGAAGAACCTCCAGAGACAATAGAAGCTGTTTGGCAGTGGAAAATACTATTTTGGCTTTCCTTTACTAAAGATTTTGAAACCAGAGGCTAGATGGCTACCTTTCATGTGTGATTTATTTGTGGATACCACCACTAGTGTAGGGTTGAGTAGATGTTCCTTAGGATGCCATCCAACTCTATGATTCTAAGTATTTGTTTTCTAGAATGAGTACAGGGTACAGCTAGGAGCTTGTCTTGAGAACTGAGATAAGTACAGTGCACCAGTGCCATATGCGGGCTTGCCATATGTGGACAGCGAGCTCTCACCCTCTTAATGATGCACATGCAGCGTGGTGCAGAGGAGCACACCACCATTAAAATCAATGGGACTTGACGTCCCATGGTATTGCCCTTACATGGAAGGGTCCGGAACAGATCCCCTGTACAAAACAAGGGCCCACTGTAAATGAATCATTTTGAAATCAAAAAGCAAAGGTTTATAGGGAAGGGTGTGACAATTTTTAAAAGATGAAAGGTATGGTAGAACATTTATGAAAAGAGGCTTCTAAAGACCTCTTCTAAATTCTAAAAAGAGGTTGCTAAAGAGACCTCTTCATATAAAGATAAGGATGTAATACTGAAAGGCAATTGTCAGATGTGGCTGGAGTAAAAATAGCGACCAGTCCATGGGAGAAACAGAAGTATGCAAAATATATTCAAATTTACACTGTGGCATGATATTTCTATCATTTTTCTTCAGATTTTTTTTAAATATTAGCATAGTGTATTAAAAGTACAGACTAGTGTGGGAATAGCACAAATTCACAGCTTTAGTGGATTTGCATATATTGAATGAAAAGTTGTTCCTACATTCCCAGTTTACCTATCCTGGTGAGTCAATTTTTAGTTATTTTTTAAAAGTATGGTATACTCAGGCAGTTTGGAGACTGGCAGGTCAGTAGCAACCAAATTGTTCCATAGGGAGGTGCATAATGGGAAACAATTTTAGGTCACACCAGCAGAGAATGGATCTCAAGTTTGACATCCATTTTGACTTCAAATATTGTAAGGATTGAACATAACTATAAACAATTCATTTTCCTGTGGAATCATTTCACAAAACTGGAAGCACCAAATATGGCACAGAATGACATTGCCACCCATCCTGCCACTTTTTAGGATTTTAAACCTGTGAAGGAGATTTCTTGGAAGTGCTCAACCACAAAGAATCTATGCAAGTTTATACCAAGTGGAAAGAATCCCAAAATGACATGGGGGAGTGTTAGACCAAAGCTTTTACATAATTTTTTAAAAATAAAAGCTCATGTCACATCTTTATAGTGTGCTGAAAGAAATGAACATAATAGTTCTCACTGGTGAAAGAAATGAACATAATAGCTCTCATCCTTCCTCATCTATTAATGATTTTTCTCTAATTTTTAGGCAGGTTGCCAAATCTGCTATTAACAGCTGTTACGGCTCTTGTCCTCTTTACTCAATGTGTTTAGAGGCAGGTTGATTTCCAAGAGGAGATGGCTATTTCTCCTCTGTAACATGTGTCAGGGGAATTGCTTTAATTAGTGCATATGTTCTTTGCTGTAATTAATGAAAAATTAATTTAAAGAAAGCACTGCTTGGCCTTGAAACTCACTGGGTGACCTTGGGCAACTCATCTGCTCTCAGCCTCAGGGGAAGGCAATGGAAAATCTCCTCTGAACAAATATTGCCATGAAAACCCCATGGTAGGTTTGCCTTAGGGTCACCATTAGGTTGGAAATGACAGTGGTTAAGTTGGAAATAGCAATGGTTTGCCATTGTCTTCTCCTGAGGCTGAGAGCATGTGACTTGCCCAAAGTCACCCAGTGGGTGTTATGGCCAAGCAAGGAATTGAACCCTGGTCTCTAAAGTTGTAGTCTAACATTCAAACCACTACACCATGCTAGCTCTCATACAAAAACCAAAATGCACATATGAATATATAAGATTTAAGGAACCATTAAACAATTTATGAGCTAAAATATTAAAGCTTAAAATATTACAGTGCATTGAAGGTTTTAGCTTGCAATGTGAAATAGCTTTCACCAATTTGCTCAAACAATGGGCAAAAAGTAATTCATGTAAATGTGAAAGCTCTCAGCCGTTAATAAAGCAAGTCATATTTTTCTCAGCAGCAGAAGAAGGCAATGGCAAACTTTCTTTAAAGAAAGCTTTCTAAGAAAATCACATGACAGTTTGACATAGAGTCATCATAAGTTGGAAACAACTTGAAGACATATTACAACAACGACATGTATGAATAAGGGCATGACTGTTTATGCCTCCTTCTTTTTCACATTTGAAATTACTTTCTTAATTTCAAGGAAGTTTGCCCTTAGTTAATTTAAAAGCCATTATTCTTTTTTTCTTCGTTTTTGTTTCAATCATTATTTTCTGTGTGAGACCCATTTTTTTTTTTTGCCACCTATAATTTTAATATTTCAAAGTCAAATAGAAAAAGATGTGGAGGTAACATACTGTTTTCCTGAGGAATCATTCCTGCCAAATTTCAAGCAAATTGCATATCCCCCCCCCCCATTTGAGAAGCAATTTAAAAAGCGGTGACATCTGATACGTTTCCCTTACTCTCTGTTGGTTTTTTGCTGCCTATAGCACCAGAGCTCTCAACCAAAAAGAGAACACCATAAAATGGCTTAATAGTGCTCCACAAGAGCAGTATACCTGTTAAGTTTGCAATACATCAGACAAAGAGAACCCATGCCAGAGATGAGGGAAATGATGCCTTTTAAATTCCCTGAATTTGAAAGTTAATGAGTTCAGTGGGTTACTTTGTCTGCCTGTCCTTCTTTGAAGAGTTCTTTCAGCTATCATTCTTTTCATTCATTCATCTTTCCCTCTAGGCATCTGCCAAATTCTGAAAAAAATTGGAGAAAGTGTGCCAATCCTATGGGCAAAGGGGTGGGTCATCCCATTTATTTTTTTAAAAAAATTACCATACATTTAATGAGACTAAACTCTCTTGATCTTCTTTGTAGATTCTTCCAAGTGTTCCAAAGACAAGATGGGGTGCACTGCTACAATGTGAAAGAACTTCAATCAAATGACTAGAGACTTTTGGATACAAAAGAAAATGAGAAAGGCAATAATGAATTAATGGGGTGAATGAAGTAGGATGGGTATGGGGAAAGTATTCATTGATTTCCAGAACTGATGTTCACTGGAGAACTCTGAGAAAAACGTCTCTTCCAGAAATGGTGGTATATGTTCTCTACATATGCCACCTTGAGTTCACTGTTGGGAAGATAATATGTAAATGTAACAAACAAACACAAACATACAGTGAAAGCTTAAACAGGAAAAAAGATACATTCTGGAATCCTGCTGGTGTCATGTACATGTGTACATTCCCTTATACATGTGCCTGTACATTTTTGGCCATGCTACAATGGAGGCCTATGGAGTTTCACAAGCATAAACATTTCACATCAGCCTAAATCCTAGTGTGAGCCTGGACTAAAGTAGAGCCATTCAACAGAACACCTGCACAATGAGATCTATTGCATCAATGAGGCACAGTACAAAGGATGTGCAAGACTGTGAGGAAGAATTTCTTGATTAATGCCATTTGTCATGTCAAAAGGTGTTTGTTATTTCTGCAGAAAAGCCATGGAGCTGTTTAACTTTTGGTCTAGTTTGGTCTGGGAAGGAAAACAAAAAGGGGTGTGGAGGGATCTAGTGGCACTTTTTTTTTAATGCTGATGGATTTATTTTAGCATAAGTGTTCATGGATTTCGGTCCAGCTCTTCAGATGCATTGATGAAGTACAGTATTTAAGTATTTAACGGTATTTAAGCAGTTTTCTGTAACTGTGGAGGTGGCACAGTGTATAATGGAAGATTGTGACACTGGCCATTAAACTTCTGAGGGTTTCTGCATCATCTTACACAACCTTCTGAAGATTTGTGGCCAGCGTGTATCCTATTAGAGTGTTTCCACTCCCCTAATGATATAATTGCACTTAAAACTTGAATATTGTGCTCCATCAATGTATCTGAAGAAGTGAAATCCACAAAAGCTCATGCTGAATAAAGGTGATGCTACTGGCCTTGTCCCTTTCCCTTTTTATTGTCTTGTATAAACATTTCTCATGACCTCTTACATATCATACTCTAGGTTGCCAAAAGGAAAAAAGTGGAAGCAACAGACAACTGTATTCCCTCCTTCCCTCTTTCTCTTATTGTTAACACTGTTTTCTTGTAAAAATAACAATATCCAGAGCTGAATACCAGGAGCCACAGGCTTCCTTTATTGATCCTCTTTCACATATCAGCTAGGAGAAAGAGGTTTTTCTCATAAGAAATCTAATGGAAAAGGGTACTTATTTTTTAAAAAGTGAGCCCAACGTTACATTTGGAATGCTTTCCCTTGTTTGCTTTCCTTTCCCTGCTTCTATGCTTGAAGGGAAGAAACATTATTTGAAATCATTGATATGTGTCTGCTATGGTAACTCTGCTGGGCCTCAAAACAAAAAGTCCCAAGATGTATTTGACTGGTTTGTGTTGTATATTTGACACAACACTGAGATAAAAAACATAAAACAAGGTGTAAAGTTGTTCTACCTGGATTTTATCACAATGGTCTCCTTTCCTTATCAGCTGGCTCAGCATAAAATATGCTGTTCTAAATGAGGGAACCAATGGCCATTTCTGTAATTATAGACACAGTTTTCTCCGGTCACTGAAGCCCATGGAAAAAGTTGTGGGTGTATTCATCTACACCCCAGCACGTGCTAACATTTTTATCTTGTGGACACAGGCATGGATTTAGCTGAGGCGTCAAGGCTGCTGATGTATGTGGGACATAGGACGTGTGGCTTGAATCTGAATGTAGTTCTCGGCTGATTGTTTAAATGTGCCTTTCATTTTGTAAAACATATGTTATATATGAATAACTGAAGAAATATCTTTCTCATACAAGATGTCAACCATGAGTGTTACAAAAGTAAATGTGTTTACAGTAAATGTTAGTGTAAACTGAACACCATTAGAATTATAGAATCATACCCTGAAAGCACTAGATCCTGTCTGATCTTGGAAGCTAAGCAGGATCAGCCCTGGTTAGTACTTGGATGGAAGACCACTAATGGGTACCAGGTGCTGTAGGCTATATTTTAGAGCTTCGACTCCCAGAGGTCCCAGCCAACTTGGCCAATGGTGAGGAATTCTGGGAGCTGAAGTCCAAAACATTTGGAGGACCAATGTTTGGGGACCACTATTTTAGAAGAAGGAACTGGCAAAGCCACCACTGTCAATTTCTTGGCTGAGGGAACTCTATGAAAGGAATAGGGTCACCATAAGTTGACAGGCACCTTGAAGATACACGCAAATTTAAGAGTCGTAAGGGACCACAAGACCCATCTAGCTCAATCCCTTGTCATACATGAATAGAGACTAAAGCACCTCTAAAAAATATGCCCATCCAATGTCTGTATAAAGACCTCCAAAGATGGAGAGTCCATCACTTTCCAAGGCAGTCTAGTCCACTATCTTAACAGCTTTTACAGTAAGGAAGTTCTTCCTAATGTTTAGATAGCATTTCTTTTCTTGTAATTTGAACTCATTGGTTCATGTTTTGGCTTGTTCTGTATTTTACATGATATCCCTTCAGATAATTAAAGATGGCTACCATGTCACCACTGTCTTCTCTTCTCCAAGCTAATTACACCCAGCTCCCCAAATCAATAGTCATAAGGTTTGGTTTCCAGTCATTTGTTCATCTTGGTTGCCCTCCTATGCACATATTCCAGCTTGTCAATACTCTTCTTGAACAATGATGTCTAGAACTGGACTCAGTATCCCACAGTATGATTACATGGAATAATATTGACCTGTTTAGAGCTTTCTTCTAGGTGGGAATACCATTTTATAATGAAGAGAAAGCAATTGGGGGTAGTTTGATAGTTAATTGCTTTATTATTAACATGCAATATGAAAGGAGACCAGTTTTCCATGAGTTAATTGGTTTTGATTATTCCACTAGAGACTCCAACTTCTTGTGTCAGTTTACCTATAAATGCAATTTGTCAAACATGTACGAATCAGTCATTTATTATATAGCCTGTTGGGGTTTTCTGAGACTTAGCAATTTCCATTCTGAATGCTCTTGCTAGCAAAGTAATAAAATCTTTATGAAGCATGATCTCTAATGAAGGCTGGAAGATAAAATGTGATGCTAGGGATGGAGGGAAAATTCCTAGGATTTGCATTTTATGCATGATTGCCAGGTTGACATATTTCAGATTGAAAACATAATTTGCAATCAGAATTCTATACATTTCTGAACTTCTGGTGCAGTTTCCAAAATACAGAAACCTTTGAAAGTTTTATTGTAATTGTCATGTATGTTTTTACTCTTAATAACGCATTTATGGAAAAAAAAAAGAGATTTTTTTTCTTCAAAACTGTGCATTAAATACAGACAGGTGAAAACAACAAAAATGTGGGGGAAATGTGCAAAAATGTATTTGCTTTGAAAAAATGTACACAGTATAATGAACAGCTGAAAAGAAATGGTAGCTGGTGTCTTGCAAATCACTGGGACAGTGAATAAAGTTTGGAATTTACTATGAATTTTAAAGGAATTATTCAAGGTGCTGAATTCTATCCTCTCCATATCACCTTAGTTATCTCCTTTAAAGTTTAGATTAAAGTGCAGAGTGGGTTCATAGCACACTGAGAGTGCAGTAACCAACTGCTGCTTTACAAGTATATACAAATTTCCATGTAAGGAGCTTGTAGTCTGATCTGGAGCCAAGTAGGAACACAGTGTGAGAAAAATGAAGATCTTGTCAAGATCAAGATTAATATATTCATCTCTAATGTAGCATCTGGAACTACCCTGGATAGTAGATCATAGAGTCATGGGTCCTTCTGGGAGAAAGGTGGCATA